ATCACTTTCACGGGTTTATTACGAATCAACTCAACGGCCTGCTCCCTGTTGGCTTGTTAGCTCAATTGGTAGAGCGCTGCACTAGTATCGCAGAGGTCAGTGGTTCGAATCCCGTACAGGACTTTTTTTTTTCAGGTCTGATTTTCGCTATTGCATAAATAGCGCTCTCTACTGTGAGGATCATGCATTATACGTTAAGATGAATTAATTAGTGAAGTGCTAGACATAGCTTTCCTTAGTCCTTATCCCAACATCATTACCAAAATTTGTTATCATTATGACAGTCATAGAAATGGCAATGAAGAACGTGAGAAGACAGCTATAGTTCTGAACACTCAGACACTTACCCTTCCTATCACAGTAGTGTTCAGTAGAAACTGAGAAAAATCTATATGGCAAATAGATGAAATTTGGCAACTGTATTCTTAGCTCTTTGTCATTAATGCACAGCTGTTTCTTGTGGTGTACATTTTCCTCAGGTGCTGAAATCAGTAGTGAAACTGTTTGTTCAGATTTCAACTCCTAACTATAGTTTGATATGACAGATGAAGCGACAACAGCAGGTCTTTGGATCAGGGTTAATGGGAGGGTTATAAATTAAATAAACCCTGTTCTGGCTTGCTGGTATGTCGGCTGATAATGTCCTTGGCTGAGAGATTGTCCTCAAAATTTTATATTTGCCCTCAAAGCCTCTCAGCCGTGGACATTATCAGCCAACATACCAGCCGCCCGAAGAGGTTTATTTACTAAATATCGTTGGCAGTGCCGGTGGGTAAGATAAGGCGAATCCTGTGTTCTGATTGCCTTTGAAATTCCATTACTGCTCCTTGGCGACATACGAGACTGCCTAAGAATTACGTGGCATGTAAACCGGCCGCATTTAATTATACAATGACATTTCTGCACCGGGGTTACAGGAGTGTTATTCATATAAATGTTAACTTTGGAGAGATCAATCTGTTTACGCCGTGGATGGAAGATAATGCATTTGATAGATATCAATGACTTATCTTTGATAAATCAAAGATAAGTCATTGAGTTTTAGTTTGTGAAATTCGATAGACAATCCTGCGAAAGTAGAACCGCCGCTTTTGTCAATCAGAAATCAGGAATGGCATAAAAAAAACTCGCTCGCAAAGCTGGTCATATGAGAAAAACGACTGAGGAAGTCTATTTTTTTCTTTTTCTTTTTGTAGTTTTTTACCGTTAATTACGTCACCCAATGTTGAAATTGTAACTCTTTTCAGGTGTGGTGTTTGGGTTATTTCCTGCCGCTGATACAGCAGCAGATGTTGTAATTAAATTTAAAAACTCCACTATGGACAACAAAGAGCTGTTTGTGAGAGTCCTACCCACTATTCATGTAAGTAGCTGCAAATTCAAGAGCAAAGGTTTTTCTCTAGAGTATTTCTGGAAGTAGGTCTATGTGGACATTTAAAAAAATTGCACGTTACAACGGAGCAATACATTTGGAAGCTTGCGGGTCCGAAGGACATTTCTGGCCGGGTTAATGTGAAATCAAATGTTGTTGTTCATAAGAAATAATAACCCAACGGCTCCTTGATTGCTTTGCTACGCTCATCATCCAAGCGCCTTCTGGTTTCTCCATCCTATAACTTGAAAACATATGGCGCAAGATCCTTCTCTGTAGCAGTCTCCTCGTTTAGCTAGGCCTTTAATTTGTAATCAAAATGATTAAAGCAACATTTCATTAAAGAATTTCTGGTAAACCCCAAACGACCGAGGGTTGTTATTAATGTTGTTTTGTTTAATCGGGTTTCATATGCCACCGTTTGGCATCAGATTTTGATAGTTATTATTACTAGTGGCTAGGAAGCTTCCAAGGTTGAAAAAACCGCTACAAAATGCGTTCCGAGTACACTGTTTCAAAATATTATGACTCCTTCCATTATATTTTCCATTACACACTGGAAAATCCATCAAGGCTACAAACCCTGATAATTTGCTCAAATAAATGGGAATTTAGATCAACAAAGGTTCGCAAGTAATGTTGTCTCCACAGGAGATTATGTCACCCCCGTTGCGTCGAGCTTCCTATCAGAATTTCCTAGTAAATAGATCATGTTGCAATCTCGTTTTCTTGTTCAAGCGAAAGAAGGTTTAAGTCATTAGGTAAAATATCAAGGAAACTGGTCAAAGAAACAACAGTTGTAAGGTTAGCTTCAAGCAATGAAAGCGAATCTACTGAGGGAAAAAGCAAAACCAGTATTAACAGAAATGAAATCTTTTGGGTACTTGTTAATAACCAAAGAAACAAGTCAACAGATAAATGATCATATAGTTGAACTGCGAATCTGTATCCCTCTCGAGCAGAAAGCCTGCGACAATAAATTATGATAAAGAATAAATCAATAAGCGAAATGCTTTTCATGGAGCTTCGCGGCGTTTTTCCGATAATACACACAGCGCCTCCAAAACAGTTACAGGCTGAACTTTTGAAGAAAGACTGAAGCCGGAGGTAAGGATGTTTCAAACCTCTTGCTTTAACTGATTTATCGTTTATATATGAATAAAAAATAAATACAAAGCAGGATTAACGAAATTTCGGGCAATCGAGCACTCGTTAACGAGAATGCGAGCATGCGAGCAGTTGCAAAAYTTTTGCGAGCACGAGCAAGCGAGCACCCGTGTAATTTTTGCGAGCAATTCGAGCAAAAGCCAAATTTTACGAGCACTTGTAAATTGAATGGGACCATTTAATTCCCCTCCTGTTAGTGACCTACATCACTGGGCGTAAATACTTGAACAAATGTAGCCCACAACTTCAAGTTTCTTATTTCCAACGGCGAGGCAGCCTAAGCGATTCATTAGCTGTTACGAAGGGCTAACGCTTGAAACGTCGGCTTTTGAGACTCTTTACGGACGCCAATCCACATTATCAACTTAGTTGATAAAACCACTTTATCTTGTAATACCTCTACCGATGCAGCACTACAGTTTCTATAGAAACTTACTCCATTTATTCACTGGGCTAATTTGATTCCCTGCCGACTTTTTATTGTTATAACTTTTTTAGAGCTTAGCAAAACATCATTTGAAGGCAGGTCTCTTGCGATGACCATGACTCTTTGAAGAACCCAAAATATGATGACGCAGGCTCCGACTGTAGTCCAGCAGGTAATGCTTGTTCAAAGCCGAAGCGTGAATAATCTTTTGTGAAAAGTTATCAGTAAAATCATGGCATGTTATCTTCTTTGTAATTCTTGTCTACTAACACAAAGTCTTCTTCCCACGTTGCGTAAGAACTTTAAGTTCCTTTCCAAAGTATTCGCTCATAAGAATGCTTTCAGCTTTTCAATTAAGTTATCGCAAAATTAGAGCTTAACAGAATTGGAATTTCTTTGTCATTAGATCGATAGCTCTAAAGTTGCCTGTGATGATAATTAATTCAACCGAAACTAAAAG